AAAATCGATCCAGATGTGATTACCTTCACGGTGCACGCTGAGCCTCTTAGCTCAATTGTAAAGCCTTGTCTGCACTTAAACCTTCTCTACTGCGTGGGTTCGACTCTCACGGAGGTCAACTAAAAATATAGTGTACGGGATTATAGTGCTTCGCTGATTGACGGGGGTGGAAATAAAGGGCCATGATCAAGGATTTGACCAAATCTTGCTGAATTATTGTTTCAAGATTTAAAACCAACGACTCGAATGCGTTAAGTTGAGATATATTTGTCTGGATTAACTCTTTACCAAGAGTGAGAACAGTGATGATGAAATAAATTTGGGCCCACAACTACTTCCTTCTGATCCAATGACATTGATGTGACAATCCACTCTCGTAGATGCCTCTGAAGGAAGATGAAAGTATAAACTGAAACACACGCATCTCAATCAAATTTAATTTGAAAAAAAGGATTTTCCTTAGGATAAAAAGTAACTTGTAATGACTGAATTTTCGAGTTTTGGCCTCAAACTCGCCTTCGGACTAACAGGAAAAGTGCAAAGCACAACTAAAATGTCTAAAGTGCCAAAAAATCAATAGTCATATTAGGTGAGACCTGATTGGTAGGCGTGGCCTGAGTAAGTCCCTGTTGTGCGGCCTCTGTCTTTTTCATCGTTCTTTGACGTGGGCCAAGGAACTTGACAATTATATGCACAATGTGGATGGATGTACTACGAAGAGATGTGAAATAACGTTGGGCAACCTTTGAATTAAGCATGAAACACTTGATCCAACTCAACTATCCACTCAAGACGCATTCGACTGTAAACATACCGAAATGGCTGACATTTGTGCTCAAAAGGGAGATCCAAAAATACCTAAGCTGTGAACTTTTTCTACGGACGAAGGACCCAGGAAGACTGCCATAATGTAGACCACAATTGAATTTATGCAAAATACTCCTCCGAGAAGCAGGTGCTTCTGGTTAACTACGGCTCCTCGGCAAAGCAGCACGAAGACTACAAACATTCTACGCATACATTAGAGGTAATACAAAGAACCCTGGTCATCTTGCAACGTTAAATGAAAAACCACCAAATTGTGAGAGGTTGCCCTGAAATGAATGAGATTTTTCAGAATTTTTCCAAAGTGTCTATACAACGGAACGGCCCCTTTCTCCCCATTATCAGTCGCATGTTCTCAACAGCCTATACCCGTGACCACAAACCAGAGATCAGTTCCTCTCCAAGCATGCAGGCTGTCACGTCAAGGTCACACGCCGCTACTCCACGGACGCACGTAGTTCCTCGTTGATACTGCCTGTGACGAGGACATCCAGGAACGGTTATTGTCCGGCACTCTCTTCCTCCATTGTGAATTTGATGTCGGGGAAGATACCGTAAAGCAGGTTTTGGAAGTCTGCTAGCCTGTTCTGTTCGATTATAACGAAAGTGTCGTCCACGTATCGGCAGCAGAATTCAGGCTCAAATTGGTCGAAGGCGACATTTTTCAGCTCCTTTAAGACCAGTTCTGCGATGAAAATGCAAATTAGGGATCCCAGCGGCGTCCCTTTGGTCTGTTCGTATTTTCAGACATTAAATATGAAAAAAAATATTTGGCGGAAGACAAAGAGTTGCATGAGATGGTCAATTTTTAGAGGAACCCTCGATTCATCGTCTTTCTCTTCAACTCGTTTGCGTAGGACGTCGCGTGCCAGGTCCAAAGGGATAGAGGAACGACATCGAAAGATACCATGGTTTGATCCGGTTGAACCGTTCTGACCCGGATAGTGGCTATAAACTGGGAGGCCGAATTAATTGAGGTCGTCAAGCCGGCTCGGAGAAAGTTTAGTTTTCATGACGAAATTCAACTAGCTCACTTGCCGAAAAATTGTCTGACTTAGTGATTGCTACACTCAAATTCAAAGTTTGAAATCTGCGCATGATTTTCATCTTGTTTAAGGAAAAGTACGTTTTCGCCTACAGTTTGAGGAAGAAGTCACATAGTTGTCATAAAATATTGAAATAGATGTGGAACATATTTGATGCAGTATAGGCAGCATTAATAAATTGACGGATACGATGTTCTATGAATTAACAGGTCACAATTGTAAAAAAGCTCATAATTAGCAAATTTTTTTAAGACCGAAGCCACTCTTTTTGAGTATAACTTTTAAAGTAGGCGTAATTTGCTATCAAACATGTACAAGAATTTTTTTCGTGCACGTTTTCCGTAAAATATATTTGAATTTATAAAGGCAGTCAAGATGAATGATAAAGGGCACACTACCTAAGTAGCCAGCTTTTACATATACAGGCGAACATGCGTGTCCTT